ATATATATATATTGCGTGCAACAATGCACACGCGCGTGTGTCGCATAACAGTTATTTGTTGCACTATTGTATTACACAGCAATTATATGTTTGTTTTATAATTTTCTAATTATTTAAGTAAAACAGCATTTTGGTGCTATTTCTTAATTTATTAATTGTAGTTTTCAGTATTTATTTCCGCAGACTACACCCCTGATCTTCTTGTTAAAGTTCTCTCTATTGCATCATTTTTTTTTATATATGTGATCGAATACAGCTCTTTTCGAATCAATAATCAAATTGTGAGTAGAGCTTTTCATCTTTGAATAGTTATTGTTGATAAGTTAATTTGCATATACAAATTTGCTTTAAAATTCACAGTGAGACGAATGTCGAAAATTATTTTTTATTTTATAGTTCAAATGGTCATTGGAACAACTTCAACATATTCATAATGAATTAAAAGACGAGAGAGAAATCGATATCATGAAGAAATATGGAAATAATGCAAAACGTGCTACGGCTATATTTATATGTAAGAGAATGTACACTTACGTTAAGTATATGTCGTCAAACTAAAAAAATTAATAAGATATAAGATTTAAATATTACATCAGCTTGTTATCTGAATATTTAATTAGAAAATATTTGATTATATTTCGATGTTATATTTTTAATAAAATTCAAAATATAATTATGAACATATATATATTATAAAAAGCAAACAGAATATAAATAAATAAATACGTACACAGCAAAAAATAAATTTTTAAACAGAAATTTAAATAATAAAAGAATGAGATATTTAAGAAATTGTTAAACAATTTGTTAAATGCTACATTTTTTTTTTATGTAAATTTTATGTTGTAAATTTCTATTTAAAAACTTTTATCTTTAATTTTTGTTGTGAATATGTATTTTGTATTATTGCTAAGCAGGAAATTGATAAAGAGCCATTTGCTTTCGAACTTTATGATAACGATTTTTTTTTAAGATTAATAATAATTATTATTTGTAATAATAATTATTTTTTAACATTTTCAGTGGTTAACATAAGTATGATACTCATTATTGTTCTCCTGCCATTTGTAATATATGCTCTTAATGATATTTTGTTCATAAATGAGCATGACATGAAGTCCGCAATGCAAACGATGATACCTAAACATTTTGTCGGTCGAGAGCATTATTTCCATCTGATTTATATATATATGAGCATAGCTCTTTCTATAGGAGGGACAGTGATAGTGGCAATAGGAATGCTGTTTATAGCATGTATCGTACATGCTTGCGGAATGTTTAAAATTGTCAGGTGAAAAAGTACATATATAGGAATAAACTAAAATAAAACAGAAATTATGATTATATTCAAAATCTTTTTCACTGTTATCTAAAATCAACTTACACAGACAAAAGAAATTTGCCGATGTAGCAAAAAAACACATATTAGATCTGAAAATAATTCGAGTCTCCCTTTCCATTGAATTATTTTATATCAAAGCAAAGTCTTTGCCATTAATAATATATAAAAATCTTTTTGTTGGAAGAAATGCAAATTTTATTCTAAGATGCGATCATCTACAGAAAAAGCATTTATTATTCTGACAAAATCTCTTTTCAGATAATAAAATAATAATCAACATTATTTAATTAATTAAGTTAATTGGTGAAATAATGTATTCAAACAAAATAACTTTAGTTAACTGTTTTTACATATCTTTTTATATTCGTTAAATTGTTATAATATTGCTACAACATAATGAAATATTTTTATATTAGCAAACCGATTTTTTCTAAAATGCGAATATAATCACAAATCATGCATCAATAATGTCATTTTTTATAGATATCGCATTGAGCAGGCAATAACAGTAAATGGACTGAATAATAACTTAAAAGATGAGATTCCAATGTATAAAAAGATAATTCATGCCGTAGATATTCATCGCAAAGCTATTAAGTTAGTATTTTTTACTGACAACTATATAAATATATTTAATAATATTTTCTTTTTGTTAAAGGTTCACTGAGTTATTCTTTTCCGGCTTTGATCAATCACGCTTGACTTTAATAATGTTTGCTGTAATTTGTTTGAGCCTCAATCTTTATGGAGTTAGTTTGTCTGCCATTCTTAAATATATTTTTAGATAAATTGAGTTTACAAAATTTTTTGTGACTTTGTTACAAGGTTATTGTGAGATAAGATATTAATTCCAGTATTTGTATTTGTATTTTAGATTTCGGAGATTATTTTGCTTGGTGGCGATTTCCAACAATTTATAATACATTTTCTTCTTGTAATCATTATTTTTCTATATTTTTTTTTAGAAAACTATGTTGGACAGGAACTCATAAATCACAATGACCGCATATTTTCCACTGCGTAAGAGAGATATATGCTCGTACAAATATATCAGCAAATCATTCACGAATTCCTAACGTAATAGAGATTAAGAGACAATTCATAAATCACATAGTCTGAAGATTACTACTACATCTGCTACAATTATCGATTTGTTTCCTGGCCATTACTTTGCAGGTATAATGTTCGGTGGTACATAGCACCATTACATGTACAGAAGTTAATACTGTTTCTTTTGCAAAGAGGCACCAAAGCTGTCAGTCTGAATCTTGGCGGAATATTTGTATTCTCTCTAGAGTTTTTTGGCACGGTAAAAAAATCATTTGTGTTATGTGCATGCTTATATATGTATATATAAAGTATATATAAAGTATATATAATTTATATAAGTATATATAATTTATATATGTATATCTAAATTTCAAAATAACATTAACATTAAATATTTATATAAACTGTAATGGAAGTTAATAATATAAAATAAATAGTTTTAGAACAGCGACTTATATCTCGGAAACGTCGCGTTTTTTCATTACAATAAAACTTTATCATAAGAATCTTTGATTTATGTAGATTTGAATATCAAGGGTTGGCAATATCAATTTATAATATATATTTGAAATTTTGATTCCAAATTACGGAATGCATCCTGGAATCAGTACAGAGAAATAACGAAACTAGTATAAAATCATATTTATTTATACAGAGTGTTTCATATGTGAGCGTTAATATGTGATCTCCATTTCATTAGCGGATGAGGAATGCAAAACAATGAAAGAAGTTCATATAACCATGTATCTTATTTAATCTTATTTAATCTTGTTTTGAAGTTATAATCATGTTTGTGTTCCATTATCATGCAACTACTTAGTTTTATAGAAGGATAAATACAATCCGAAGGTGACTATTTCGAGTTCTTTTTCTACCTTTAATCTGTATGTATCTGTTATGAAACACTTTGTATATCTTTATTTTATTTTCTTGTTTTATATAAATTAATTAATTAAAATTACATTAAATTTGATATTACGATGTTTTTTATTTCTCCGATTTTCTATACTGACATAGAGTTTATTGCAAATTTAATGACTTAAAGTTAAATTTTTATCTAACTCTAAAATAATTTTATTATTATACAGCGGAGAAATGCACACATTATCTCCGGACATAAGTTGCCATAAAAAAAAGAACGCTTAAGTTATTTATCTTTTATTAATCTTTAAATATCATTGCTTCGAAACGTCTTATGTATATGACATGCATATAATCCAAAATTTATTAATTTCATTCTAGTTAATGAAAGCATCGATATCCTATTTTACTGTTATATGTGCTTTGGAATATTGACGTAAAAATTTATCATTTATCAATTTATCATGATAATATATTGCAACTCATAGTAAAATAGGTAAGTTTAAAAATCATTTTTCTATCTCTTTTTACTGTTAAATGAAATTACCAAAGAATTAACGTTTTTTTCCTTTTTGAATTTTAACACGCACGGCTTATAATGTAAGTATAGAAAGAAGTGTTAGTTGATTTTTACATTAAATTAATCTGTTAAACATTTTTGTGAAACATTTTTTACTTTTGATAATTATATTAATATTATCTATAATGAAAGAAGACTCTGATTTTTTTTTTAAACAAGTTTAAACAAGAATATTATTCGCATAAAGTTACATGAATAAAATATTACATACATATATAAAATTGTAAATGGTGATTTTTATTTTATTGCTCCGTTCAATTAAATTATAAATTCACAATTACTTAAGACTCGATAATGAATTTCGATCTATTTTTTTTGTATTAAAGACATGCATCATGCAATACTACGAGAAATACAATAGTAAGCCTGTGTATATTTATACAATATTTTTCAAATATGATATGATATGTTCCTTGTAATAGCAAACGGACAGTTTTTGAATCATTTAAATATCACAACTGTGAGTGAATTTGAAAAAAATTACATCTTTTAGAGTTTAGTACTTTATTGATAATTATACAATTAACGCATAACATGTAAAACGTGACAATATAACAAATCGGAATAATAAATGAATGTCTGTACTGTAAAAAAAGAAAAGCATTGCGAATGTATGTATGTTAAAATAAAGTGGACTACCACGACGAGATAGACCAACTGCGCTTATGCGAATTTTCATGAAGAAGAAACGCTATGCGAATGCATGTTTTTCTGCGAGAAGAGAAAGTAAGCATGAGTTATTTCCTTCGGGGTCAAATCGATCGATCGTCTAATCGTTCGTTCTTTTTCCGAACAAAAACATTTAACTGCGAGTGTTCTTGACTCACGATAGCAATTTGTCTACTAACTTGCATTATATTTTTACTAAATTATAATTTAGAATTAACATTAATATTTTAACATTAATATTGAAGAAGGAAAATTATAAAGTTTTCTTGATATTTTAATAAGTTTTTCAATTTTTTTGCGATCAAACGCGTGCCTTTCTTGCACAATGATTATCTATATTAAGGTTGAGTCCATGTACAGTTTGTGGGTAGAAGTATAGAAGTGAATTTATTTTACACAGAAAATATAGAAAATATGAAAGTATTGAAGAAGAAACGTTAGATACGCGAAAGAGTATGGGAGAAACTATTGCGGTAGCACCTGAAATAAAACAAAAATGCTCGCTAAAGTAATATAAGCTACAAGAACATACAATAAAAAAATGGGGATTTCTATTTAAAAAATTAAAGATGATTTTCGCGTAATCTTCAAACGATTATCTGAGATCAATCAATGACACCTTCTTATGTCTCTCTCTGTAAATCATATAACTTTTGTCTGAAACATTTTTTTCTAAAATGCACTGTTCAAGAGACATTTTAAGATCATTTAAAATGGGACATTCTATATTTATATCGGTGTGTGTTTATTGGATATTATTCATATATTCATATTCATTACTATTTTCATATCATTATTTTAACATTTATACTAGATTTCAATGTTTATGTTGTATATGTACATATGTGAGTGTATTTATGTTAATGTGCACTGTTAATATACTTAATGATGTTTGTAATAAATGTAAAATGTAAAATATAATAAATTGAATAAAACTAAAAATATCATGATATTGATATAAGATATCATAAAAATATGTTACGTACATACGTGTTTATTTAGTACATAATGCATGCGCGGGACAAGACGGAAAGGAAATGACAGCACGTTCCTTTTTCTGTTGCAATCTCATCTTTGCTGGCAACAAAGTGAAGTTAATAAGTTGTCCACCTATCTATTCTATACCTACGATTTGTATTATTCCATCGTAGATTCTGTGATAAATTTTAAATTGTATAAAATACTTTTAAACTAACGTATAAAAGCTTCCAGATTGGATTACGATCATTAACATTCTGTTCAAATATATTTTCAATGCACACATAATAAAATTGCTTTGTAAGAAGAAGACGAAATTATGCCTGCATAAATTTTGAATGAAGTCATTTTGTAAGTATTTTTCTGTGGGAACTGGACATTCGTTAAATTTCTCTTGGCGTTTAATCGATCGATCGCTTAATTTTATTAGGCAGAGACATAAAATCCCAAGTGTTCCGATCTCACGGTAGTATTTTTCTTTACTATTCTATCTCATGTTTGTGCCAAATTAAGCAATTTAAAATTCACACCGAGGAAGAAATGTTCTAAAATACTCACGATACGAAAGAAGGGGATATCGTGTATCATCGTTGATGTTTCAGTCAAACGGAATACGTTTCTTGCAAAGTGATGATTTGTGTTACGACTCAGTATTTCAATTTGAATCGGATTATTTTACTTTTAGTTGGTTTATGGCCTTATCAGCAATCGAAACTAGTTTATATGCAAATAATTTTATTCTTGGCCTCCTAATTAGCTGTATCGTGTATCAGGTAACTTGATATTTTATATCATATTTCTTT